ATGCTAACATAGGGCCGAGCGCAGTGGCTCATGCCTGTATAATCCCAGCACTTTGGGAGGCCGAGGTGGACAGATCACCTGTGGTTGGGAATTTGAGACCAGCTTGATCAACATGGAGAAACCCCGTCTCTACTAAAAATACAAAATTAGCCGAGCGTGGTGGTGCATGCCTGTAATGATCAGGAGGCTGAGACAGGAGAATTGCTTGAACCCAGGAAGCGGAGGTTGCGGTTAGCTGAAATCGCGCCATTGCACTCCAGCCTGGGCAACAAGAACAAAACTCCATCTCAAAAACAAAACAAACAAACAAACAAGCAAAAAACACATTAAAATGCTAACACAGTATCATGCATAGTATCTTAAAATGCTAAGCATATTATGCTGATAGTATTCTAAAATGCTAAGCATAGTATGCTGATGTATCAACATAACCTGATACATGTAATACAGTTAATGCACATTAGCAGTTAATAATAGCAGCTACTGTAACATAAAAGTCAAGGGTTTTTAATTGCTCACAATTTTATGTAGCTGCCCAGAAAGCTAATTTTATTTACTTCAATACCTGCATTTGTTTAGTTATTATTATTCTGTCAGTACCAAGGATCCAAGAGAAAAATAAAGAGGACACAGTTTTTAACCTGTACCCAGTACATTGTTCTGAAAACTATAGGTTAAAACTGGTTAGTGGGTCTTAAAGTGAATTTTCATCATGACTAGAATTTTTGGTAATGAAGTAAAACAGTATAAAACTATCAGAGGACATCATATGTAATAAGGACAAATACTTTTTCATGAAATTTGTTTTTAGTGAGAGAGATATATGTGTATCTCCCTATATTATACACATGGATATATGCATACACATGTAAATACATACCTATTCATGTATATATGAACTTGGTTGTGTTATAAAATGTATTTTTATTGTGGATCATGTCCCCACCCCACGCCCCAAAATATAAAACTCTATTCTAGTACAAAAACAATACTCCAAGGCCAATAAATCATAGAGCCGGGACTTCAGTAGTAAATAAGGCAGCTGTCACTGTATAAATAAAACATTAAATTAGCAGTAAATTTACTGAGAGACATTTACGGTGCTTTATAAACCTGAGAAACTTTGTGGAAACCATTTATGTTCTATGGGAAGACTAAATATTATAAATGCTACAGGTATTAAAGTAGTAATCAAGATAGCTAGCTTATAGTCTAGGGGAATATACATGTATTAAATTAAATAATTACAAGAATGATGTGTTGCAAAGGGTAACAAATTAGATGTTGTAAAAAGATTGTGTAAGATACAATCTGAGTGTGTAATAAATTGTGTGTTGTATAAAGATTGTATAAAACACAATTTGAGTGTATGGTGTGTATCTACAGTTATTCTCAGTACGATTTATAGATTTAATACAATTGCAGCCAAAATCACAACAGCTTTGTTTTTGGAATTCATCAAAATGACTCCAAAATTGGAAACACCAAAGGATAAGATTTGTGTACATTGAAAAGGAGAAAGGGGAGAAAACGCTTTTGAGGAGGATATAATACTGACACAAATAGACTCTTAGAGCAATGAAAGAGAATAGGAAACATAGAAATATGTGCTGAAGTATTTAGTAAAAAATAATTGGATATAGAAAGGTTTTTTTGTTTTTGTTTTTGTTTTTAAAGAACAGGGTCTTGCTATGTTGCCAATGTGGAGTGCAGTGACTATTCACAGGTGTGATCATGAAGTACTGCAACCTCAAACTTCTGGCTTCAAATGATTCTCCTGCTTTGGCCTCCCAAGTAGCTGGGACTACAGGCATGTGCCATTACGTCCACCTGCATATAGAACGATTTTTTGCAAAAGTTGCTGAGGAAAATTTATTAGTTTAGGAAAAATTAGTTTCTTATACTGTAGCAGAACACAGATGGCTTGAGGAGTTGGATATTTTTAAAAAATCAAAATGTAGAAAAATTAGTAGAAATTAGGAATATCTTTAAGTGCCAAAACAAACCTACAGGAAGGGATATCTGGGTTCAGATATGTACAGATGTAACAGATACGTAAATATGTAGGTTCAATAAAAAATGTAAACAAAAAAATTTGTAAATACTGTTTACTTAGAATATTATAAAGGTTCTATTTATGTATAACAACATTCCAGTTAACTTGGATGCCAGATAGATATGTTTTTTATTTCAAAGTGTCTTTGCCCTGACCATCTGTGAGGATCACTTCACCTCTAAAGCACTTATTAAAAAATGGTATTTTGTAAGTCTGTGTTTTTAAAATCCTCTCAAATGTAGCTTGAATTAGTAGATTTTAAATCCCACTGTTGAATTTTACATTATTACTCAAAAGTTATTTTTAGTGTACATTCTGGACTGTGTAATGTGATGTGATTGTTCATCCATATACCTTTGTATTTAAAAAAGAAAAACAAACTTTTGAAAAGAAAAGAAAGAAAACATCTTTCTCCTCTTCCTCTGCTCCCTTTCCTAGGATGCCTCTTGTGATTATGTTGTAGCATATCTGAAACACAAGGCAGCTTTGTTGACATCACTGATGATGCTTGTTAGTAGGGACTTGTCAGTGCTGCCAAACATTTTTGTTAGTCATTTCAAGTATCCATGTCCATTGCAGCTGCTCTGGAACTCATAGGAAGATCTCAGTTTTTGCAAACTCATGGAAGAATCACCTGGGTAAGAAGGAGTTTGTTACAGGGTTTTCAGCAAGTTAACATGTGGAAGAATTACAGTACTAGAACAAAAATTTACTGTTGTGATGTGTCAAAAAAGAAGAATGGAAGATGGTTTGCTGACAATAGTCCTCTAATGCTTTTACAATAGAGGAAGGTTTATCCGCCTTTAATAAAATGCTGATAATATATTAGCATCCTAATTGCATTTAGAGTTAAGAAATTCTAACTAGAACCTGTAGAAACTGCTAAAACATTTCACCTAGTAAAGCAGCCCAGAATTCCTAGACAGTCGGTTAACTATGAATTACTTATTTTTTGTTCAGTTGCTATGGATTTTTTGTACTATTTTTGCTTCTATGCATTTATTAAATATGTTTATGCAAAACACTTGGAACAGTACTCAGCACTAGTCAATAAATGTTAGCTCTTTAGTATGTATAATGTGAAACATGAAAATTGAATGCATGAAGTTATTTCTTCAGTGTTTTTTAGAAAGAGTATGTTTTCTATTTTATGATCCCCTCCGACACCGCCCCCACCAAATGTTTCCTAATTTTGGCCTGGGCACTTTCATTGTAGTCATGGATTAATAGAGAGTAGTAACCATTGGTTAGTGTCAGAGTTATTAGGGGTGTAACTAATTTGATTCAGTTATTGTTATATTCCTAATCTTTAAGGCTCTTGTGCTTTAATGGAAATAATAGCTTTTTCTCTTTTTGATCTCCTAAATTCTGGACTGCTAGAGTGTTTAATAAAAAGGAGCAGAATTTTTTGAAGCATATTAATACCTTAAACACTAGTAACTCTTAGTTGTCTTGGGCTATCCTATGCATTTATTTTATTTCCTTTTTTTTTCAGTTTTCAAAAATAATAACTTGGTATGTGGGGCTTTCACTTAATTTATGTCTAATTTCTAATTTTTTAATTGATCAGAACAGTATATTTCTATGATATAAATTCTTTGGAAGGTGTTAATATTTTCTTTGTGGGCTAGAACAGGGTTTGGAAAACTTTTCTTTAGAAGATCACATAGTAAATATTTTAGCCATTTTGGGCAAGACACAAAATTGAGGCTATTATGTAGATAAAACATCTCAAATGCAACCATTTAGAAATGTGAAAGCATTCTTAACTGTAGTAAAAAGAGGCAACTGGCCAGATTTGTCGTGTGAGCCATAGTTTGTTAATCTCTAGCCAACAGTGTGGTCAGTTTTTATGATGGCTCTGTTTGTTTGAATAGAATATATGCTTTCTGTATCTTAGGCAGCAGTATGTCTATTATATCAGGCTTGTTAATTGTACTATATATATCTTGTTTATCCTTACTAAATTTTTGCCTTTGATGTGTGAATTTCTCAGAGTAGTGTTAATCTCCTGCTATAATTACACATGTCTCAATTTCTCCTTTTAATGTCCGTTTTTGTTACATTTTCAGGCTATTGTATCAGATATATATACATGTTTATGACTGGTACATCTTCTTGGCAGATTGGTCCTCTGATTACTAATTAGAATTCTTTGTTTATCTTTTTAAATACTTTCCTTCGGTAATGCTACCCTGCTTCTCGTGTTATAATAATATTGCTATTTCAGCTTTTTGTGGGTGCGATTGTTGAGATTTATCTGGTGTTTTTCTCTCCTTTTTGTTTGCTTTTAGCTGTTTTTGATCAAATCTTATCTTAGGTTTTTAGAGCTGCCAAAGCAAATTACCACACCTTGGAGGCTTATATCAATAGAAGTTTATTCCGTCATAGTTCTGGAGGCTAGAAATCCAAAATCAAGGCGTTGTCATCAGGGATTTGCTCTGTCTGAAGGCTCTGTAAGAGAAACTTGAGTTTCTTCTACGTTCTAGTGGTTATCAGCAATCCTTGGCATTCCTTGGTTTGTAAATGCATCTCTCCAGTCTCTACTTCCATCTTCACATGACCTTCTCTGATTACATTGTAAAGGCCTATTTTCAAGTAAGGTCATATTCACAGGTTATGGATGGGCATGAATTTCTAGGGGGGACATCATTCAAGCTAATGCATTTCTATTGAGATGTAATATATACAGTAAAATTCATCCTTTTGGTGTACAGATTTTTTTGACAGTTTAATACACATATTTTATTTAAATAAATCCTCTCATAGGAAATGAAGAATTCATTGCCTTTACTTAGAAGAAGGCTGTGTAAATAGCTATCAAATTTATATATGCAGCTCACCAATATTTCCTTTTTGGCAACATCTGTATTTCCACAATACAGTTCCCAGAAGGACTTCTAAGTCTCAAAATTCTGTCTCCTTTGATGTGCTTCTCTCTTGGTTACACCCAGACTTTATTAATGATTTGCTTCATATCATTATCTCCTTCTCCATATATTTTCTTTAGAATATTCATCAATCCCTCACTAGCATCTGTTTCAGTGTCATAGGAGGGTTTCTCCTTGTAATTGATTTTTTTTTTTTTTTTTTTCACGTAATCCCCACGTGTTGTGGGATGGACCTGGTGAGAGGTAATTGAATCACGGGGGAAAGGGTTTTTCCCATGCTGTTCTCATGATAGTGAATAAGTCTCATGAGATCTGATGATTTTATGAAGGGCATTTCCCCCGCACATGCTGTCTTGCCTGCCACCATGTAAGACATGCCTGTGCTTCTCCTTCCGCCGTGATTATGAGGCTTCCCAGCCACGTGCAACTGTGAGTCCATTAAACCTCTTTTTCTTTATAAATTACCCAGTCTCAGGTGTCTTTATTAGCAGTGTAAGAACAGCACTCTTTTTCAACCTGAGCCAGGTTATCCCTCCCACATTGTGTTTTCCACTTTCTTTCTCTTCTTTTTTTATTTTTATTTTTATTTTTTGAGAGTCTTACTCTGTCACCTAGGTTGGGGCGCAGTGGCGCAATCTTGGCTCACTGCAACCTCCACCTCCAGGGTTCAAGTGATTCTCCTGCCTCAGCCTCCCAAGTAGCTGGGATTATAGGTGCCTGCCATCACATACAGCTAATTTTTGTACTTTTAGTAGAGACGAGATTTTGCCATGTTGGCCTGGCTGGTCTCAAACTCCTGACCTCAGGTGATCCGCCTGCCTCAGCCTCCCAAAGTGCTGGGATTACAGGCGTGAGCCACCACACCCAGCCTTTTCCACTTTCTTTCTGCATAAAATGAGAACTGTATCAGTCTTGACTTTTTTTGAACTACCTTCCACAGAAATGGGTTTCAGGAGATTGTTCATAATCATAGAGTAACTCTTCCCACTTAGATTCTTTACCAAAAGATCAAATGACCTCGCTGTGAAATGCACCTGCACATTCTCAGTGGGAACTTGATGAACTCCAGTTAAGGTAATGTGGATTTTCACAGACTTATCTGACTGATCCCATCCATAATTACTGGTTTTCACTGTATGTCCCGTTGTAACAGGATCAACTACAGCAGCTGGCTTTTCATTATCAAGAAGTTCTGCTTTCTTCTATGATTTCTGTTGCATCTTGTTCTGGATTTCTGTCTCAATTTTGGATTTTTCACCTGTAAGGGCATCGTGTACTCTTTTCCTGGTATCCTTCTCCAGCAACACCTTTGCTTCTTCTAGAGATTTTCTGTAGCTCTTCCAAAGCCTAAGTCGGGCTGGGTCAAACCAAAGGCCCGAGCTGCAGCCACACGGGGAGAGAACAGGAAATGCCATGCTGAGCCCTCAAACCAAGCACAGACCGCTACCTGCATGAATTCAGTGTACAGTTTTATGAGCTTTAACAGGCAGTTGTGCAGCTATTACAGTCACCTCCCAGAATTCCTTATTTTCTTTTAAAGTCAATTTCTACACCCACTGCTAGCTCCTGGCAACCACTGATATGAAAAGGTTGTCGTATAAATGGATATGATATAGCCTTTTGAGTATAATATATAGCCTTTGAGTCTGGCTTTTTTTACTTAACATAATGCAACTTGAAAAATTCATTTATGCTGTACCATGTATTAGTAATTTGTTTCTGTATATTGCAGTTAGTGTTCTATTTTAATGCTACCAGTTTGCTTATTCATTTGCCAGCTGAAGGGTATTTATGTTGCTTTCTAATTTTTTTGCAGTTACCAATAAAGCTGCTGTAAACATTTGCTTACAGATTTTCATGTGAGCATGTGTTTTCATTTCTCTATGTTGTGTCTGTTATTTTCCTTCAATTCACAATATTTTCTTGTTTTTCTTGAGACTTCTTTGACCCAAGGATGATTTAGAAGGTTGTCTACTTTTCAAGTGTATGGAGATTATCTTTCTGTTATTAGTTTCTACTTAAATTCTCTTATATTCAGAGAGCATGTGTTTGGTGTATTTTTTGTTCTTTTAAATTTGGCTTCTCAAATCTGTAGGTTTGTGTCTTTCACCAAATTTGAGGTGTGCTTATCCATTATTTCTTGAAATATTTTTTTCTGCCCACCCCTATGCTTCCGTGACTTCAGTGACAGAAACGTTACCTCTTTTGTTATTGTTCCCATATGTTCCTTAGCAGGCTCTGTGAATTTTTTTTGACCAATCTTGTTTCTCTTCATCATTCAGATTGGATAATTTTTGTTGATCACTCTTTAAGTTTATTGTGTAATTTGAAATGGTAGTATTTAGCCCATCAATAGCGCATTTTAAAATTTTGGTTTTTGACTCTTTTCAGGTCTAAAATTTCCGTTTGTTTCTACTTTTTATATTCTGTTGTTTTTTTGTTTTTTTTCCTGAGATTTCCTCTTTGTAGTCCCTTCAAGAGTTCGCTCTTTTGGAGAATTTTAGTAACAGCTCTATTAAAATATCTTCCAATTCTAACTTCTGTGTCTTTTGGTGTTGGCGTTTTTTGATTGTCTTTTCCTTTGTGAGTTGACATTTTCTCCTTTGTTTAGATGTTGAGTCATTTTGGGTTATATATTAGATATTTGAACATTGTATAATGAGATTCCTGATCTTCTTTAAATCTTTATTTTGTTTTTAAACAGGCAAACAATGTGGTTGAGTTTAGGCTACAAGGTACAGCTAGCTGTCTTGATTGTGGTTTTAATGCCAGCTCTGTTTTCAAAGCTTTTGCCATGCTTTCCAGATCTGTTCTGAGTTTAAATCTACCAGAGGCTAGTCTGGGATCTGGGAAGTGATCTTAGGTTGTTTTTCAAAGTCTTTGCTGTGTACTGTTTAGGATCAGATCCAAGCAAGTGCTGCTCAGTGATGAACTGATTAATTTACAAACAGCTTTATGGAGTTACTTTACTCAGTTCCTGGTATTTTGTGACCTCCCTGGTATTTTCTGTTTTGTATGACTTCTCTTTTTTCCTCTATCCTAAATGCTGTTGTTATATTTTTTTCTATTCTGCTGTACACTTCCCACAAGTGCACCTGCATCTAATGCAAAGCAATATGTGCTTATGTTGTCTCACATTCCTTGGGGTTCCTGCATTGCAGTTGGGAAGAAGACATTTAGATATTTGGAAATAATTCAAATTTTATAGTTTCTCTGTCTTCTCAAATATACTTGTAGGTAGGACTGGCCATGCTTTTATATGTCTAGGCAGTAATAACAAAGATGAACTTTTTACTGAGATGAGTCCTGTAAAACTAACTTTACTTTCTTTATTTCTTAATTTTAAAAAACGTGTTCTGAGAATATTGCTATTCATTAGAATGTTGCCTATGTTCTTAGATCAAAGTCTTAATGTCCATTTGACACCACCATAGAAAAGTAATTTATCTGTCCTGGAAATTTGACAAACACTTACTCTTGACTGTCAATCAGCATTACCTTTTGAACTTCCCTAAATACACATTTAGAAATTCTGGGCCCCTCCCTAGAGATTCTGTGTCAGTGCGTATACAGTACAATAAGTTAAGAAGAAAATAACCTACATGCTCACCTCCCCTGTTGTAGACATTATTCATGGCATGGAAGAACCAGAAAAGATATATCTGAGGAAGATTGCGATGTTATGTTCCTTGAAGGTTACTATTCAGTCACTGGGTTTACTGAGACAGCCAGGAGTCATATGAACAAATAAGGTGTTGAACCTCAGTTGTACTGCCTTGGTCAGGGGCTCAGCCCTGATCAAGGTAGCACATCATCCAGTTGTATTCTTCACTGGTTCATTTTTCTTGAGGCTGTCTTTCTGAACCATTGAGCATGTGGTTTCTTATTACTAAACCACTTCAGCAAACGGTGGAACTTAATATTGTCATCTTATTTTCTTTATAATGTTTTAGAACAAAAATCTTTATTTCAAACTTTTTTTGAGGCATGATATACATCCAGTAAAGTGGTTAAGGTGTACCAATCTTAAGTGTACAGCACAAGCTTTTCATATGTATGTTTAACTACCATACACTCAGGACATAGAACATTTCCAGCTTCCTACTAGGTTCCCTAATATTCCTTCTTAGTCAGTAACCCCCTTCCCTTTAGTCTACCATCATTCTTGTGATTTCTAACACCATAGTTTTGCCTTTTCTCAGACTTCATATAAATGGAGTTATGAGATATATATCCTCATGTAGCTAGTATTTTTAATTCAGTTATTTTTGCTGCTAAGCCTTATTGAGTTATTTAATATTATTGTTTATTGAGTTATTTAATATTATTGTTTATGGTTTAGACAAAACATGTCTAAACCAAAACAGATTCAGTTGACTTTTGTTTTACATTTTTCTTAGGTGAAACAGTCTTAAAATTCTTTAGGAAATTTCTCATGTGTTTAATGGTTCTCTATTTCAACTGCTTATATAGTATCCGTTATTTACTTCCACAGATTATTCTTGCCGTAGCTCCCTTTTTTCTTCTTCCACATTTCCTTCTACCAGTATATATAGGGGAAAAGAAGATTTCTAAAATTTTATCTCCCATTTGTTCTTCACCATGCTAGCATTTGGTCTGGGCAAATTCAGGTTGAACTGAATGTCCACAATTACTGTATTAATCGAGTGTTTTTCTTCCCTTCTTTCTGACAGCATGATGGAAGTGGTTCATTGCATGATATTCAACTATCATTGCCGTCCAGTCCGGAACCAGAAGATGGTGATAAAGTATATAAGGTATGACTATGTAGTCATGCTGGATTTTTCAAAATTCTTTTTTAATACTAAAATAATGATACCGTGACAATTAAAACAATAATAAATGTATTAATACCTACAGCATCAGGTTTGTTCTTAACTTTTGCTGCATTGTTTAGTTGAAATGATATCTCTGTGGTGCTTTAATTTGAATTTATCAGTCGGATAATGATTTGTCCCTTTATTACTACTGTTGCAGGATTTTAAAAGAAAATATATTGCTCATAATGATAAATAATTGAGTTTTTAAAATATGAGTATGAATAAAAGTTAAAATGGTTATAGGTACTTCTCATATATAAATCCTAAAATTGAAGAAATATACCAAAAATGAGATTAATTTATCTTTTTTCATGTTTAAAAATACAGAATACAGATGTATTTTTGTGAAAGTGTTTTTTTATAAGTCTTACTATCTTTATGTCTATGTTTAGTTGAAGAAAGCTCTTTTATTTTGCAACTATTTGCAACTATTTAAGTACATATTTATTTCTTAAGCACACACAGAGATTCTTGGTTAACTTAATGTTTTCAAGTCAAGTTATAGTTCGCTTTTACATCCCATTTTCAGAGTACACTTATTAGTGTTTGCTAGTCATCTGCAGTAACAACCTGAAAGTAATGGTGGCTTATAATAATGAAATTTACATTTCACTTACATATTGGCTGTAGATCAGCTGGGACTCTGCTTCATGTGTCTTCTTCATTCTGGGATCCATACTGAAGGATCAGTCCCTATTGTGGGAGATGTTATTATGCTCATGAGAAGAGAACTTTGATAGGATCACATGTGAATTCTGCTTGGATGTGGCACATATCACTTTCAAAACAATTCAAGGGGCCAGGCCTGGAATTAGTGGGACAGAAAAGCATTATTTTCTCATAGGTTGCAGAGTGATTTATTGGGAAAAAGATTATATGTAAAGCAATCAAAATCATAAGAGTATAGTACAGTAGTCAATCTTGTTCTCTCATCTTGGCTTTTCAACTTGTTGACTACCTGTCCTTGCCCAAATTACTTCCCAACCCCGAGCTTTCATCCTGCTCTCAGTATAATACATTAAGTCCGCAGGTTCCAGCAGGCCATCTCTTTCTCAACACTCAGTTGAGAACCATTGACTTAGGTAACCTCCGATGACCTCCCAGTTTAGAAAAAAAAAATTGTGAATTTGTCACTGACATTTTAAAAGCAAAGTTGACCTCTTTCCTGAATTTTGTGTGTATGTGTGAAAAGGTTTTTTACATGTAAAGATTTTATTTTTTATTTTATTATTATTTTTTTAGATGAAGTCTTGCTCTGCCACCCAGGCTGGAATGCAGTGACGTGATCTTTTTTTTTTTTTTT